GTCTGCCCGTTAGTCACTACTTAGTATTATCGACGGGGTCGACGCTGCGCGGCTTGTGGAGACTGCAACGCCCGGCACCGAGGTTTTTGTTGCCATGATTTGCGAGCTCGCATGCTCAAAAATATGTTGCATAATTTGTATCGCTATCAGTTCGACTGAATTTTGAACTTTTTAAAGCAAATATGGGTTGACGATATTAATACAAATTGTTGACCCATCCCGATCTGCATCCGCGAGGTCCGTAACATCTCTACAGCCCAGATAAAGATTCTGACAAAGCTTTTGACTTCCACCGGTTTTGAAAGAGTCCACTGGACCATTGTTAAATGAAGAGCGCTGGCAATTTATGTTATGCAGTCGTTTAACGCATAATTTCTCCAGTTGATTGGAAGGTTAAAAATGAAAATGTCAAAGAAAACAGCCTCATTGATAAATGTGCCATGCTCGGCATTTTTTTGCCCTTTGTCAAAACCTGTGCCTTCCCCTTGCCAAGGCTCTGGTGGCGCGGCAGATACCAATGTATATGTATGTATGCCACATCATCAGCATGCTCAGGGCAGCAGTCTAGTTATATCCCAATATTTATGGGGTGTATAAATAATTGGCCTCAAATTAGCCATTTCCTAACAGGCATTTACAGCTGTTCAGTAGACTTGCTACAATGTGACATACTACTTTGTATTTGTTGTCTGTTGTACTGACTTGTTCGACACTGGCAGCGGACCATGACACCAGGGACCTCCACCTGGACTGAACCCCCTTGGGGGCGTAATGTGATGTGCTTACTGGTGATGGCTAGCCAGCGACATGTAGAATGTTGTGGACTGGTATGTTCAGAGCACATCGGCATGAACATACCAATTGCTCGATGACCATCTAAGTATGCACTATTCCCATTCTGTTGCAGAGACTTGGCTTAAGTTCTTCATGGATGCCAGCATACCAGCAGGGGTAGCCACAGAATATGCAATCTCATTCAGTGACAACAGGATGAGGCTGGACATGCTGCCTGATCTCAACAAGGACTACCTCAGGGATCTTAATATCACCATTTTGGGTGATGTAATTGCTATATTGAAACATGCCAAGTCTGTCAGCCAGCAGGTAATCAATAATGAATAGATATATCATTGTTGCAGTGCAATCAGATCCACACCAGCCATTGTGCTGACTTGCATGTCACCAGCCACACCAACTGGTGATGTCCACACCAGGCATTAACCTTGCACCTGGTAACTGTATGTGAATTAGTGATCTTGGACTTACTCAACACCAGGTAAAAATGCTGTAGCATGGTACACCAAAAGTGCATATGTTGTGCAGTATGGTGTCCCTTGATTTGTGCCGCAAGTTCATAACTGCTGACTTCATATTCACGCAGTATACTTTGCATTCAGAGTTGATACGGACCTAGTCTTTTTACTCTCCAGCAAGTGCATCATTTGTATCGCTGACTTTCACTTGCTCAGAGGTGTATAGCCCATTCCCCTGCCCACCTCCCCGCAGGAGTATACTGCCCGCAAGATGGGCCCCGGCGGGCGCGTCTCGCCCGACCCGCCGGCGGCGCGCGCCAAGCCGGCGCCGGCCTGCGTCGAGTCGCCGGCGGCGCGCATGGTGAAGCGCTTGGTGCGCAAGGAGCCGGCGTCGCAGCCGGCCGAGCCCACCACGCGCCGCAAGCGCGCCGCCGACCTTGCTGACGACGGTGGGTGATGGCCCGTGGAACGGGCTGGCGGCGCTGTGCCGGTGTGATGAGGGCCTGGCCACTAGGTAGGGCCCGTGGAACGGGCTGGCGGCGCTGTGCCGGTGTGATGAGGGCCTGGCCACTAGGTAGGGCCCGTGGAACGGGCTGGCGGCGCTGTGCCGGTGTGATGAGGGCCTGGCCACTAGGTAGGGCCCGTGGAACGGGCTGGCGGCGCTGTGCCGGTGTGGTGAGGGCCTGGTCACTAGGAAAAGCTGACGATGGCAGTGGGTTGAGGTGGTGCTGATGGTGAGCAGCTGGTGATGGTGGCTGGCCTTAGTGAAGTCAGATCGGCTTGGTGGAGTTCGTTGGTGCATCCTCACATGCAGTGATGGCCGCTATGGGTTGCAATCATGCATCCGCTCATTTGTTCATTATTTAAAGGATGGACTTTGGTGTCACACATTTCATGTAGTGTAAATGGACCTGAAGGGAAAGGTATAACGATCTGCAATACACATTGTGCAATGTTTAATGCTGGAAACACCCGTCTGTCATCAGATCATAGCGCTGGTGACCAGCCGGCGCCTGCCAAGTTGCGGCTCGTGGCCTCGGGGCGTCTGGGCACACCACAGGCCAAGTCAGGTCAGTGGGTAGTCATCTAACATGCGTGACAACTCGTGTGAGTAATGAAACACAGCTAAAAAGAAACAAGGAAAAACAGATGACTCACTCCTCATGTTCGATCACGTTGGGGATATTTAAACTGTGCAGTGGCCGTTTGTCGAGGCGCCGACAAATGCGCGGGTTGCGCTTACAACATGTGTGCTAGTTGTGGTAGATGTCACTGTATCCTTCATACCCAGAAGCATCTAGTCTTGTTTCCAGCTACCGCTACTGATGATAATTTTGGTACTGACCAGCGCTTCGGCCGCTGAGGCCACTTCGCACTATGGTGCGAATGGTTTATGTCACTCTGTAAAAACATAACGCCGACCGACCACCGTTCGCCGGACAAGGCGGTAAGTCACATCCAGCCCGACCGCAGCCAAGAGCTGTCTGTATCCCGGCGTCGCTGGGTCCGGCTGTGCTGACCACTGTCGACCTGACTCGGTGAATACCGATCTCGCCGCAGCTCTGAATGGCAAAAAGACGGTATTTGACCGGCTGGGCGCCGACAGTCAGGTCACGTCCACCACCCCGGACAGCACGCGCTTCCACATCACCGGCCTGAGCGGGCCCGCCGCCACGCAGGTGAGACCACCGCAACCCTGGGACCTGGGACCATAGGTGCGGGGCCGACCGCCGCCTTCGGGCACTGGGGCACTGAATTGGGGGCGGTGACATGTCTCGGGATCTAGAGGGAAGCCGTCTGATCGTCAAACTGAACGCTACCCAACGGTTGGGAACAATCGTGCAAGACTTCGTGGGCTGAAACTGCATGCAACGTGACAGGACCTTGCTTGCGGACGAAATATTTTTGTTTTGCAGTAATTTAGTTTGGAATAAAGGTAGTTTTTTGTAGCTTGTTAGGATTCGGGTTGCTGTTGGACTCAGCTCAAATAGCCGCCTGAGCCGCCTCGTTCTCTTCTGCTATAGTGCATCCGATATCCAATCTCGCCATGACGACCATTGCTCGACGAAGACTGTTGATGACTCGCGAACCATCGGCGCGTGCTGCCCGATACCGTGCTCACCGCCTCTGACCGCCACCCGCGCTGCCAGCGTGCGCCACTGCACGCCGAGGCGGCGGCGGTCGGCACGCCCCGCCATCGAGTCCGACTCGTCTCTGAGCCGAGGCCGGGCCGCGACCAGGCCCCGGCCTGACGTACCGAGGTGTGCTGAAACCGGGCGGCGCCGGCGAGCGGCCCGAGCGGCCCGACCCCGGCCGCAAACCCGCCCTAGGTCAGTGCCGACGCCAGGCCGCCTGCAGACCTGGCGCCACCGGGAGAGGTGGGGCTTCAAACTTATTGGCGGGAACTCGTGCTGACGAATCGAATGGGTTCACCTATGACTCAACCCGTGACCTGCCGAAGGTTTAGACTTCGTAGTATATGTAATGCCGAATCAAAATGACGGTGACAAGTAAACAATCTCGCCCCCCTTGGGCTACCTTTCGTGATGTCTTACTTGTTTCAAACAAGCTGATAGTTTTATTTGTTTAAAGACATTCCGTGCACAAAATGTACAGGCGCGCGGGGTTGATTCCCCATCCGCACCCACGAGACGGCACTTCTAAGCCCATCTCCTTTTCTCTGCAGTGACGTCGACGTTGGCCAGTGACCGGGAGCTATCGGCGGCCAGCGCGCGCGCCCGCGTCGGCTCGCCGGCCGCACGAGCCTCGCTCGGCGCCGCGGCTCGCGGCCCGGCCGCCGGCGTCAAGGCGCGCATGGCCACGTCTTCAGCAGCGAGTCGACCGGCAGCTGGCGCCGGCGCGGCCAGGGTGGTCTCGGCGGCGGCCCGGTCGGGTGTGGGCCCGACTGGGCGGCGGCCGGGCCGGCGTGCTCAGCCGGCTGGGCGCCGTCGCCCGGTAAGGCCGCCGCACGCACCAGTCAGGGGTGCGAGCTAGCGGACACGGCGGTGCCCTTTCTGGAGGGGCTGCGGCTGGGGCAGTGTAGTTGCGCTCGTGCTGTGGTGTGAAGTGTGGTGTGGTTGGTACCGCGCATGCTGACCGTACGTTTGGTGACGCCCCGCTTGGAATGTGTTGGGATCGCTGGGATCCATGAAGTTCGAAGCAGACTTGGCGACGTGTGGCGATTTTGACTGATGTGTTGAAATGGTGGGTGTTCACGACAGCGTTCTTTTGTGTGCGGTACTGCTGATCGTGCGTGTTGAACCACGATCAGGTATTGCGACAATCGCGTGAAACGCGTACTAGTACAAACGGCTACAAACTACATCGGCATTGGCGAAAGTCGAAGACAGAACGTCGCAAGTCGGCGTATACCGCACGTCGTCTTAAGTTAACTTACCTGCTCAGCAAAGTGCCCGACTTCACTGGAAGATGTACTTGTGTTTCATTGAACTAACAACGTGCATTCATAAGCGAATTATCATCTTGCGATGTGTTATTCGTCAAAAATGTATCTTTCAGCGACCGATACCTGGGCATGTTGTCCTGGTTGTCTTCCGAGGCGCAAAGGGTGGCTGGCTACAAATATCAGATCGTGACATACAAAATAATTCTGCTTCCCAGCTTCCGTGTCGGTAGCAAGCTTCCAATTTACGTGCTATTAAAGAACGATATTATGGTTCGCCCGGTCCGCCTGCTGGAATCGATCCATTGCAAGGTCCAAGGCAGGCTGCAACGCACCATACCATCATCAGTGCCTCTGGTGTATTGCAACTTCGGCGAGCACGACGCCTGACGTAGACCGTTCTCGCAACAAAGTAGCATAACAAACCCGACCCAGTATGAAGACTGGACGGTCATGCCTACCACCAACCACGTCATGAGAAAATATTCACGACGGCGAATTCTACCATGTTCCGTAGCGTATTTGGGAGACAAGATGCAACCAGGTTCAGTCGCACAATGTACTAAAAAAGAAAAAAAAACGCCGCAACTGGCCCTCCGTACCCCCTCCTGCCGCTCTAAATAGAACGCAGGCAATGCTGGTACCAGGTAACAATCAGCGAAATACATATGTATCAACTGGCGGTAGTAATCCTTTCTACCTGAATACTCCCAGAGTATTGAGGATATGAGAGTTACTTTGATTTGCAACCCTGTATTCTCTGCTCCTTATGTCGAGAGCACATGACCACCATGTCTATCCTAAAAGTCATGAAGTTTGTAAAAGGCTGTACACGTAATCGTGTCCGTGGTAAACGACTTACAAGACAGAATGCTTGCGGTTTGGCTCAATGTGATCAACCTGCGCAGCGGCAAGCACACTATTTTCACTGCCATCTGGCCGGAATAACAGGGACACTCCGGCCTCATTTTTCAAGATTTAATCGGAACCTTTCGAATGGCTGGATTGCTGGGATCACAGCTCATTAAGTGGTGATTGACCCGGCCCCGACCCCTACCATTTGCTAGCTCAATTCCAAATCAGCGCAACCTGGCTGCGAAAGTTTAACGTGCCGGAATGCCCGGTATCTATTACCCTGGCAACGCCCGGCACGGTCCGTCCTGTCCTCTGACGTCAAATGACCATTGGCGCGGCCGCTGCCACCGGCCGCAGGCCCTACCTGTCAGGGACATATAGCGTGTGCCCAAAGCGACCTGGACCCATACCGCCACGGTTGAGTGGATCGAAGGGTAGACGCTTTAACCAACTGATCCATCGGGCCGGACCTTTCATCACCGTTGTATCCGACACCGGATATCACATTAAATGTAGCCTAGAGTACCGTCTACTTTCGCCCAGCTCACCCCACCGCTGCACACGCTACCAATGCTATGCGTGTTAGGCACAACGCTGAGTGGTTAATCTCCGCTAAACCATCTAGCTGTAGCTGCTAACAAGCCCATTCAGGTCTGCAGCTGAATTCAGCTTACCGCAAATCCCACCTAAATCATCTCATGTAGCTAATTCCTGCAGTGACACTATGCTGAGCTGACATCTGGCAGGTTCATGTACCCAAGCTGCCGAGCTCCGCACATCTCAGCTGACACTGCTGTTCAGCGGCCCAGACTATCTGTAATCCTCAGTTAACCCCACCCAGCTGGGACCGTTGCTGAACACAGCATAACAGCCGGGTTCTCCCGGCTGGGCGCAGCTACGCTGGCATTGCTGCTGAGCTCAACCCGGCTCGACAGACTCTGCTGTTGAGCCGAGCCCATGCCAGCTGAAGCCGGCGCTCAGCCTAGCTCAGCTGGAGCTGCTGTCACCCTCAGCTCAGCTCAGCTGGAACTGCTGCTGCGCGCGGTCGGCGATCAGCTCGGCGATGGCCAGGGAGGAGGTGGCCGCCGGCGAGGGCGCGTTGCGCACGTGCAGCAGGCGGCGCCACACACCCGTCTCGCCGCTGTCGAACACAAAGTCGTCCACCAAGTTGCCGTCGGCGTCCAGCGCCTGCGCGCGTACCCCGGCCGGACCCCTGGGGGGCGTGGAGGCGGACCGTCGGACAGGCAACGGCAGTTTGGACAGCCTGTACGCCCACAGAGCACGTTCAACGACAGAGCATTCGCTTACGAATAAGGTGCACGGCCATTTCTAACCAGTAAGTAGTGGCATGCCACAAGTTGTAACCATGAAAGCTGGAACGACTACGGGAGACTTTGGCAACATAACTGGTCGTCGAGTCGGACACCTGGGCCCAGTTCCTCATTCAATTACGGCAAAAGCTCTTCCCATAAAGGCGACGTCATAGATACGTACCAATGAAGAACACCTTTAACTCAAAATATGGTCAAAAGTGAAAAATATGGCCAAAATACAACCTGGTGATTCAACCCCGTGGAGATATATAGCATGCAGGAATGGCGCACTTCAAAATTATTGGCACATCAGTTATTAGCAAGTGATCTGTGGCTAACCATGATTATCGATCACATCATTTACAAGCGATCGAGACCTGCCTGTTCACCGGACTTACCAAGGCCGTCAGCAGCCCATCGACCGTTACTATGCGTTGTTATGTCAGAACCAATTACATTTAACAAACCCATCTAATTCGTCCCGAGGCCAAGTAGAGAATGGGCTTGGGCCGTGACGTCACAGGTGAGGAATATACTTCCAACGGCCAATGAACAACGAGCCTGACGACAGCTGGGCTACTTTCTGGCCGTGGCGTCATACCTAGTGATGTCGGCAGCAGTGATATCAGGCACGTACTGCCGGAGCCTGGCTAGCTGGAGCCGGATGAAAATAGAGCGCATGATCTCTCCTGTGCCATAGCCCAGGTTCCTAAGTGCGATCTTGCGGAATCCCCGGTACCTGAAAAGAAGCAACACCGTGTCAGCCTGCTGCAAGTAAGACAAGACTATCAGACTGCTGCAGGCAAGACAAGACTACGTCATCATGCTGCAAGCAAGACAAGACTACACCAGCTAACTGCAAGCAAGACAATACTATGCCAGCCCGCGGCAAGCAGGGGCGCGGTGCACCGATATTCGGAACCAACAGCTAGGCAATGAATGAACCTATTTTCGGTCGCTGGTTCCAAACACATGTACACACGAGTCGCGGTTACTCTTCGCTCTGTTGCTGATCCGTTGTAGCGTCAGCAGACCCTTGATGAGATCTGCTAAGGGGTGGATAACATCTCCCGGCGCCGGCAGCGCCACCGCGGGGCCGGCGCCGGCAGTGCCACCGCAGGGCCGGCCCGAAGCGCCGCCGCAGGGCCGGCGCCCAAGCGTCGCCGCAGGGCCGGCGCCCGAAGCGCCGCCGCAGGGCCGGCGCCCCGAAGCGCCACCGCAGGGCCGCCGCCCGAAGCGCCACCGCCCGGCCACCGCCCGAATGCCACCGCACGGCCGGCGCCCGAAGCGCCGCCGCCGCAGGGCCGGCGCCCGCAGCGCCACCGCAGGGCCGGCGCCCGAAGCGCCACCGCAGGGCCGCCGCCTGAAGCGCCACCGCCCGGCCACCGCCCGAAGCGCCACCGCACGGCCGGCGCCCGAAGCGCCGCCGCAGGGCCGGCGCCCGCTCACCGCAGAGACTCGGCAAGGTCCCGGAACGATACGTCAGCCCACCGGTAGCCCTCGCGCTTGGCAGCCAGCACGGCGTTGGGGCCGAGCCAGATGGCGCCGTCCATGCGAGGCGTGAAGTGCACACCCAGGAACGGGAAGCGCGGGTTCGGCACCTGCAGTTGAGGGGGTAGGTCAGCGGGAGACTGGCACCGGTCGCAGTTGGTCACAGGGCCGAGTGATATCCGAGATGGTGTATTCTTTAGAAATGGACACTAAACATGGGGCTAACAGCACCACATTTACAAGACTTAAGCTCTAATATCACATACACTCTTAGATAACATCAAGAATAACACTATGGGTCCATAAGGTTCATTTACATCCAAATGCTATACAATCCTCTCATGAATATCTAAGCATCTGGTCGACATCTAAATGACATGACATTAAGGCCGTCATCTGAGCGTGTCAATCATACCAGACAGACATCAAACATGAGCAGCAAACACATTGATTTCCTTGCATGAGCGCTGCGCGGGCTGTCCGTCCAGCCCAATACCGTCCGTCCGGCCCGAAAAACCTACAAGCTGTGCCACTGACCGGGTAGATATTGCCACGCACGAGATGCGCCTTCTCGGGCCGCAGCAGCAGGTACTCTCCCCGGAAGGGTACGACACGCGGCTCGGCCGGGCAGCCGGAGAGCGCAGCCAGTCGGTCGGCGTGCAGGCCGCCGCAGGTCAGCACGAACCGCGCGCGCACCGGGCTCTGGCGGAGTCAGGTGGCACAGCAGTTACCGCTCCGGCCGGCCACACAGTCTGAAGCGGCGCAGCGTATGTCAATGCGCGCGCGTTCGTACACACTGAACTTCCCTGTAGTGCAAATAGGAGGCGAATCTGATCTGAACGTATGTAGGGGACGGTACGTTTATGCAGCCTGAAAGCACGGCATTTCAGAGTTTGTGCCATTTTTCAGCCGATGGTCAGAAGCATTGCAGTTATTTTGGATCTGGGAGACATGACACGGGATAGTACCAATGGGGGTAGAATTATATCGTGCAATCATGACATCATCAGAATAGAATCATCAGTGCAGGGAGAATCCTCACACTTCACACAAAGTGCCAAGTGCCGATGAAGTGAAGCAACCGCCGGGGTGTCCGCCGTTACCACAGTTACACTTGCCTGTCCCTTGCACTCGACCAGCAGCGGGTGGTCAGCGCCGGCCTCGGCCTCCCTGAAGCCGGTAACCTCTGCATTGAGCCGCACATGGCCACCATGCCTCTGGAAGTCGCTGCCATACTCCCGTGTCACTAAGCCCCAGTCCACGATTCCCGTGTGTGGCGACCAGATGGCCCGCACGCCCTGTGGACATCACACACCTTGACTGACATTTCTGGTGTATACTGGCCAGTTCAACAGCATGTCAAGCATGAACTCAAGGGTGGGGTATACCAGCAGACTTAAGTTTGACCCAAGCTGAGTCAAGAATTAGCTCATGAGCCAGTAGCTTTGGGGTGAGCTGCGACCTGAGTTGGCATGTCAGGAAAAATGCAGCTTTCAGCCAAGAGCTGAATCAAACTCTACATAAATTTCCTGAGCTGAATCATGAGCTGATCATTTGTAACAATGCTGTACCAGTGAGTCATATAGTTGAACTTCAGATATGGGTTGTTCACCTTGCAAAATGGTTCAATTTCTCGCATGCCATCAGCATCCACCATTTTCAAGTCAGGCACACCATTTTGCTGTCCTCGGATGAACAAATCCTCCAGACTTGCCACCTCACTCTGGTTAACAGCTACAATCAGCTTGCCAACCTGAAATCAAGATACATGCAATGTGACCAATAACCATAAGGCAAAGTGAATCACCATGTTTGTTGCCAGTGCAAATGCATAGTACATTCAAAGGTTTTGCACAATGGTGTGATTTCCCAAGTTCATGTGATTTGTATGCATAACATAGCCACACAAATACTATGCCACTTATTTCCTAATTATTGATATCAATATATGGATCATCATCCAATAATGTTACCTTTTTGTATGGAATGTTGTTCTTATCACAGTAGGCATATGCCATTTGCATGCCTTTCACACAAAGTTTTGCCTTAAGAGATCCTGGCTTGTAGTAAATTCCAGCATGGAGTACTCCACTGTTGTGTCCAGACTGGTGGAATGCTGCAGGCAAAACCCTGCTCAATATCACAAATTTAACTGCTAATAAAGCAAGATGATGTTATCATTCACAGTAAATGTCACATTTCTACAAAAGGAAAACTATACAAGAAGCTTGTCCAGGCCTCAATACTTTTAAAGATATTCCATTTCAAGCAAAAGCAGAGTGGAAGAATGGCTACATTTGTAGTTAAAACCAGTGACATTTTTTGTTACCAATGATTGAGGCTTACAGGTGAACAGACAGCCTGGGTTTTTTGCATGTTACCTAGCCCCTAGGGCAAAGTCAGACAAAATGCTGGCAAATGATGACTGACAAATGATGCACATGCAAACATGTTCTAAGCTGGACATATAATAATAATACCTAGTTCAGACTCCTTCTCCAGGATCAGTACTTGAAGACCTGGATGCCTCTTCTTGATTTCCAAAGCAGATGCTGCACCTACAATACCACCACCAACAACAGCAATATCTACTACATCATGACAGTCCCTTGAACTGGATGGTTTGCAGCCCAAAGAACTCAAGTAACAAGAGGGCTTTAAAAGCCTGCAGCTCTTGCTTGCTAGGTGAAACAGCATGGTAGTGGTCTGCAGGAAAAATGAGAGCAACATAAGCATCAAATTGGCACCTTTGTCAGAATTGTTAAACTACATTTATTTGATGCCATGCAGCATATCAGTAATGCTTTACTAACATGGTGTGTACACACCTTGATGATGATAAATGGCATCATGAACTACGCTGGCTACCTCATGATTTCACGTCTTGCCAGTTTAATTACACTGTGAGTTAAGGTGGTATTAAGGTAGCATCAAACATTTGGTTTTGGATCTTGGTGAAAACAGGAACCTAAACTTGTGGCTTGTCATGCAAACAAAATAACACATGTGAATTTGCACTGTGTACAAAACTAGTACTGTAGGACGTCCTTTACAGAAGTTGACAACAAAAGCCACCCACTAGCTGGTCTCAGCAACTGCGCGAGACTATTGACTATTGCAGCTTGTAATTCTGAAAGTTACCGACCACCTAAGTAAGTGCTCCCTTTCATAGGGTATGTTTACACCCACTGTACTTATGCAAGCTAAGGAGCAGATAAAACGTGAAAAGGTCGGATACTCGGAATGCTGCAGAAATGGCGCGAACAGCAGGGCAGTCTTCAACGAAGGAACTAAGCGGCCGGTCAAACCTGTTGACCCAATCCTCCAATGGGCTTAGCCCCTTGCTTAGCCCCCATTACTGGATAATGTTTGGTGGCTTCGACTGTCTTTGATGACGTCTGACCTGACCCAAGTACACCACGTTCTGGACAGGGTAAACCAATGACTGAAGATTAATTGACGTAGCACGTCGATTGGCAGTTGTTTTGTGCCGATCGGCCTGAGGGCAAATATTGTTTGCAGCCAATTTTGGTGATTCGGAACGTTTTTGGTGGCCTTCAACCTGGCACGCTAGTCATCATATTCCGGAAAAGGTAGTATATCTACTATGGCATATCGCGTTTCGAAGTTTTTACGGTAACCGGTTCCATAGGTAAGGAGCAGTGGTCGTCTGCAATTCTTTCCAATTGTTAGTATTGTTGGTGACTAACCGCCCGAAGGTCACCGTGTCTTTTTAAGGTACGTAATGGACTTCGCGACATCGAATGGGAGAGGTTTAATGTCGACCGGTGCCGTGAGCTCGGAGCATGGGTTGTCAAAATGCTGAACCGAACATTCAGTCTTCTTCCCGCCCAACCTTGGTCCATGGGCGACGCTCGTGCCCCGCTTGTTGTGATTGTTTTTTCCGCGTAATCTGAGGCAATTTTGGCTAGTACGTTGGGCAGCGTCCTCACGCGTGCGACGAAGTGTTGGGATTTTACGGTAATTGTACATTATTCTCGGAGATTATGCGGTGTTTTGTTTGTGTTTAGCATGTTTTCACGTTCGAAGGCTGTTCACTGTTGCTGAGTTGTGCTGGGCTTGGCTCATGTGATGATAAATTATTCCTGGTTATTCCATTATGCTGCGAATTTGTGTAATCTTTGCACTGTTTTGTGACTTACTGCTACTACTGGCAGCTTTGCAGCTGGATGCTTTATAATGTAACATTTCAGAGGGAATCTACAATCCAGTGGGCAGCTTGATCACCCTGTGCCCTTTTGTTAAACATGAGCTCATTGTATCTGCTGCAGTGTCAGAGGTTATATCCAATATGCTGGTCAAATTTCTTTTATTTCTTTTTTTCAAACAGCCATCCATTATTTAGCTGTCAAGTGACACTTCATGTCTGCTCTCCCACATTCCAGCCGGCCAAACATGCTGGATTGATATATCTGGTAGAGAACTCTGACACATTGCCAGTACCAAGGCTTTCTATTAGCCAGTATCCAGTCCTGTTTTTATTATTAAGTCAGACCAAGTCTGGTTGCTGGTCAGCAAGAACATAGGTTACTAACTTATGGAAGTTGCATATGTAAAAAAATCTGGTATTATGGTCCATGGCATTGTTCTGGATAAAGTAAATGGTATATTTGATATTTGATTGCATATTCTTAGTCCATGGAAATTTGTTGGAAAATGTTTCATTTGCTATTCTTAAAAGGCCAGTAAAAAGTCCTTATGTTATCCCATGCTAGCCAATTTTTTTAATTAACCCTGATGTCTTAAGAGGCATGTTGAGGAGCTTAAATAAAGAAGGTGGAACCACTAGTAATGATGTAAACTGATCATTCTTTTTGTTTTAACTATGTGAAAACAGGGATGCATACCAAATAAGTTCAATGCAAAATTGACATTTCACCACTCACCAAGCACAAGTATGCATGCAAAAGGTTCAAAGATATGACTGGTCTCTGGTGATTGGACATACTGACTTATGTTTCTGCTATTTCACAGTTAACCATAATTATCAGGTGAGATATTGTGTAGCTTTGACATTATGAGATGTAATGTATGAAATGATTTTATGTTATTGATGGTATTGCTGTGATATTGGTTGAAATTTGTACCCTGTTTTGGAACTTTTGATTGACTAAGGGGTTTTGCTTAAGCCTCATTGTAATGCTAAATCATATCGATGGTACTCATTATTTTGTGCAGTGCTCAATGAGCACATAGCAATGAGCACTGCTCATCTTCAAGAGCATTTCAGTTGAGTTCAGAAGCAGATGTATGTAACATTTGCAATAAACACTTTGTGTGATATCATTCAGGTTTCAGGCAGATATATGGATGCATTTCAAGCTCATACTGTATATTATTGGAGCAATGTCTAGATACTCATGCACTGAAGCTCAGGCATTTGTTTACTGCAAGTCAATCATAAACATAAATCTGTTTGTTATGTATTTGCTGTGATACCTTCTAAAAAACATTCTAACATGTTCCACAATATTTTCAGATATTTGGTGATCATTTCAAAATAGCTGAGCCATGGTTGGGAGCAATGGTGCAAATTCAGACCTGAACATCCCTGAAAGTGTCCAGGTGAGGAAATTAACTTAGGTCTAACTCAACATGATAGGTGTTGTACACTGATACCAAGGTAATTTGGTGCCCACATAATTACCTGCTACAGTTTTTTGAGTCATTGTCATGTGAAAACTTATTGTCATATTATGAAAGTACATAAGCTTTTTAAACTTATCAGGCACATTATGCATGTTTGTAATCCTTGCTTCTAAAAGCACATTGTGTGTCCAAAATCTGTTGCCAACTCATCCCCATTATTCAAGCACTGGCCTATTGCTGATTCAAGTCCTCTGCTGATGTGCACAACCACCTAGCTCACTGTGCTGCCTTCAATCCCTTGTCCCACCAGCACTGATTACAAGGTCAGGACTTTGCTTCAAAATCTGACCTGTATGTTGAAGTGATCTGGCAATAGGCAGATTCCTCCAATGAGTGTTCCCCATTGTCCGAACACAAAGAAACTGGAGGCTGAACATAGCAGTGAACAATGAGCTCCAGCAAACTGTCTTCATGTCACAGGGCATCAATCCCCGCTTCAACTTTTCCATGCAGTCACAGTGCACCTACAAACCAAAGCTCATCCCACATAGGTACTTTTTGATGCATACATGTCTGAATCATTCTCAGCCTAACATTAGGCTTTAGGAGCATCACAATGGTAGTCAAGAACTCTGCTGTTGGCTGTTTGTGCTTGCATTGGGTTTCAGCAGTCAAGAGCTCTGCTGTTGGCTGTTTGTGCTTTCATTGGGTGTCAGCACACAATACAGGATTTTTAATGAAATGTTAAGGTAATTTGAAGGAATGAAATATTGGTGTTGATTGGGTGATTTTTACCAGTTCAGACTCTTAGTACAGACTCTTTTTACCAGTTCAGTGACAAAAAATCCTTGTCACCAAGCTGACTCAAATTGCTCTGTCCGGCCTGCCTTTGGCAATGCATGCTAGGGCTTGGCCCCCATACTGACCGCTCCTGCACCCGCGCCGGCAGAAGGCGGTGTCGGCCGAGAAGGCGGCCGAGAATGGCGCCAAGAAGTCGCGGCTGGACCTGCAGTCGCTGCCGACGCGCCAGTACCTCGATCAGACGGTGGTGCCGGCCCTGCAGCAGGCTCTCTCTGTGCTCGCCAAGGAGAGGTGAGCCGGCCCGGCGGCCCCCCCCCCCCCCCCAGACGGCGCTGCCCCGCTGACGATCGGAATGTGTGTTAGCTGCGATTGCGGACGTGGTGCGGGTGTGGTCGGTGGGGTGTGGTGCGGCACGATGCGGTGGGTGGGGTGCGGTGCGGTGCGGTTGGTGTGGTTTGGTGCAGTGCGGTGCGGTGCGGTGCGGTGCGGTGCGGTGCGGTGTGGTGTGTGGTGTGGTGTGGTGTGCTGTGCTGTGCCGTGTGGTGCCACACAGTGTGTGGGGCGGTGCGGTGCGATGCCTGTAGTTGCGTCAGGTGGTGTGTTGTGACGCTACATGCTAGGTGCGTGAGAATCAAATGCTTGCTCTCCCGAACTTTGTTGCCTTGCACCGACAACTGGTAACTGATATGTAGTGGTATGCAGTGCGGGGAGTGGGCCGTTGAGGTAAATGTACCCTTTTGGGGCTGTGAAATGGACCAGAAATCCTGCCGGATGTGGAGTGAAGGTCACTGAGAATAGAGATCCATGCTTGGGAGTTACGTTACTGGTTAGCTATTGCATGCAGTCGAAATTATTTTTTGATTATTCCGCCCAGACTCCGTGGGTCAGTACCTCCGTTCCTGGAGGAAACAACAGCCAAGCTGCCAGAACAATGGCACATCTTTGCATAGCATGTGACACAGCCCACCAGTCTGGTCGCACCCGTCCACTTACGTCAGTCTCCTGACCCGCAGGCCACCGGACCCGATCGAGTTTCTGGCCACCTTCCTGCTGAAGAACAAGGCCCAGTACGACGGCACTTCCGGCGCCGGCCCCTCCTAAGGGGCGCAGGGCCCGGCGGGCGGGGCTCGATCTCACAGTCGCCGCGTGTTATGCAAGTACAAGTGTGGCTCGCGCCGCGTGCCGCCCGGCGGACCGCTTCCGTTGTGTGTAGGACAGGTGACTTCTTCCCTGGTGGACTGCCGGCAGCGGCTGTGGCTCGGAGAGCCGAGCAGACGGCGCGGTCCGCGAGCGGACGCGGGTTGTGAGCGGGTCGGCACGCTCGGGAGGCAGGTGCCGCCCGATGCGACCCCTGAGTATTGCGTGTGTTCTACGTGCGACCGTCTCCCCTCCCTTCCCCTCACGGGTGGGTCTGCGAAAGCAAGGCGCTGGTCGCGTTGCAGGTCACAATCTCTGGGCCGGCTCCGCACGTGCTGGGTCTCCGAAGCCCACATGTGTCACCCGGCTCACATGAGGCGTGGCTGGCCAGTAGGGCTGTTCGCTGTACTCGTGATCGGGCAGAGCCGGTGAGAGGCAGTGTCCGCCGACGGGTTGTCGACGCGCCGGCCGTGGGCGCGTGCTGAGCACACCCCTGCTGCAGTGGTGTGCTCGGCGCGCGGCTGCCTCCGGCTTGGTCACTGCGGACAACGGCTACACGGTTTTACTTTCTCGACGCGACATGGCCAAATTGTCGTACGTGCGGTTTTGATTATGCAACATGTTGTTTGATGCTTCTAGTGGCCTTGGTGTTTGTCATATACGTTCGGTCTTATGACGCCGGTATTTATCTCGGTTTTAGTAATAAATTGATTGTGTTTCTTGACGATTTTATTGCGTAGATGTCACCCGGAGTAATGGATCCGACGTGTGAAAATGATGGAAGAAATGGAAACGAGGCATGCTAATAAAACCGGAGAGTGGCACAAGGCTCATGCAAATGTCACAAAACGCTGATGCTTCCTGCGTGACCCGCTCGGCCTCTGTCTTTACAGGTGGGCAAGTTTGTACGCTTCTGTCCTTGTTTAGGTTTGTCAGTGCCCTTGCAACGTGACTCAGCATTTATTGAGCCATCGTGTTACTGAAAGAGATGTAGCATTTGAAAGTCATATCACCAACACTTCGGCTTTCGAGGTCTGTTCGGCGAGAGAAAAGGCAGACATTGGAACTGTGCCAGGAAATCGATATTAAAAAGTTAATTAGTATGCTTCAATGCTCCATGACGTACCAGACATCCGCCACAAAGGCTATAATGCATCGGCCACCGCCGACAGCATATGCCAGTAGTGACGTCACGGTCTGGGATACGCCCGATCTGCGTCAGCGCGGTCCGTTTGTACATAAACATTGGTTCTATTCCCGTGCCAGGGCGTCATGGAAAAATGGGGTCTCCTCACAGGGGTAGGGGGAGAGTCCTCTGGGATGCGTATTGAAACGTCCAGAGTTCATAAAGTCCAGTGGTTTAAGTCCAGAACCGCAGCATACAGCGTTCACAAGGTCCAGAAAACGTCCAAAACCACCGGGCAGAAGAGAATCATAAAGTCCAGTGTTCATGAAGTCCAGCGTGCGTGAGATCCCCGGTTTGAGATACTGTCCTACTTCCTCGTAGCCCTGCGCCTAACGATTCGGATATTGCCCAAAAGAGGGCTACCGGAACGGATTTCGCCCACCTCAGTCGACGAGTGACGTCATGCCGTTCAGTGTTGCCCAGTTAAACCACTGTGCATGTATATGGACAACGTTTTGTTTGAGCACACAGACTTTGCCGCGTCAGCACGTTCTTGGCAGCAGGCACATTAAATAATTCAAAACTTTGATCCCCGGCTCGTTGCATCGGAGGTGGCTGGCTGTTCGGCAGAAGCTGCGTGGTAATCGTGGAAAGCACGCGGGTTGCCTGCTGTTTGGTATTGTGGGCTATGGATGAGATTCTCCGCGGTATTTGGTTCCGTTATTTATTGTATGTGTCGGTGATGCTTCTCACTTTTTGAAGGAATTGATGACTGATGTATAAGGCAGACTGATTTGATGTCTGCTCCAGGTAGGCGCGCATATAGATCTCCAGCCCCTGGCACGCTAACCTACATCGTCAGTGATTTTATTTGACTGATTCCCCTCCCTCCTCCAATTGCAGATTTTTCACACGCTCCTGCAAACGGGACTTATTCTGAATTCTAGATGCCTTTACTCTCAAAGACAGGGGCTGGGGGCTGTCTTATCAGCTGAATTCGGATGCTTCCCCCTGGTGAGACACGTTTAATGATCCAGCCTACAAACAATTCGTTTATTCAATTAAGTACGCTTTAAACGGGCGTGGTTTACCAAAATAAGTTGGTTGGCTTAACGATGAAAATCCAACGAAGTACCGCGATAATATGCCAACGAATTGATTGCTTTCCAAATTTGGCTCACTTTCTCACAAATTTGCGGGCTGCAACCCAAGTTACGGTGAACTTACCCCTGCAACTGAATACGGAACCGCACTCCTGGTTGCAAGTAAATAGGAAGTAAAAAAAGCAAACGTTGACTGTGAATGCATTCAATTGCCTGCCAAACGCCACGCAAAGCACACGCACGTGCCGCGCTTAAAGGCGCTGTTGATTCACCATCTGAACAGCGGAGCCGAGTGTATGTCACTGAGCTGGTTTGCGATAGATAATCTGAATGAATTGGGAGAATCGTGAGCTTGTATTCGCCATCCACTTCATCGATTTTGACACGCTTTCTTCCTTTTACGCTTCAGAACCTTTTAAGTATAGAATTTGGGGCCCAGCAACGCCAGTCCGGGGTTTATCGAGACGGGTGGAGTTCGCACCGCAGAGGGGCGATGATGGTATGGTGGTTAGTGGCTAGGGTGCTCATCTCTGGCCTTTTCTTTCCTGGGATGGATGCGTAATAGAGGCGTTCCATCTCGAAATAGCCATAGCAGTCGGTGAAACGTAAAGCCCCAATGGGTATTACAGCCCGCCCCGACAAGCAAGCCGCCACCCGCCAAATTTGCAGACAATGCTTCCGCTCAATCACTGTACATATGTTGGAATAATAGTGTGCGATCGGCTGGACGCGGAGCTCGGACACATAGGCCAGCCCAGAGGCTGCCCAGCTCGACGGTCCGGCCGGCAGCCACGCCCGCAGCGGGCCGGCGGACGAGGCAGCCCGGCCGCCAAATGAAGAACGCATTCACGCGCGCGCCGTCCCTCGGCCGAGAACCGAACCCCACTACACGCACGCGAGGCCTGGCCGTGGGGTAGCCCGTCCGCGGTCGAAACACTGCCAGCTCAGTCGGGCACGCCGCCATCTTCGCGTCACACACCAAGGCCCCTGACTCGGTTTTACTTGGTTCGCCGCGGTACACATCCCGAAGAACCGGACATCTGGACGTGTCGGACATCTCGGGATCTCACTTGTGCTGAACCGGAGCCGCCCCCCCCCCCCCTCCTCCTTGACGGTCGCCTTAATGGAGGAGCCTCATATCAGTCAGGAATTACACCGGACAGGGCCCCTCTGCTCGTTTTCTCCATGGCCCGAATGCGTCGAACTGGGATCCCTGTGCTATTCATTATTTCTCTGCTCTTGGGACCTTTTTGAAACAGTGAGTGGCCCCGCGTTGATCCAGGGTCAACCATCCCGGTCAGAGGGCCTTCGGCGTCAGAGAGAGGAGCAATGTATCATGTGTAGTAATAGTATTATAGGCTATAGGCTAAGTCGATTTATAGGCTATCGCATTATAGGCTAAGTCGATCGGATTTGTTATCTAAAATTAGCTTCAGTGCGTGTACCCGTTCACTAACGACAATCTTATGGCAGGGCAATGCGAATACACGTTCAAAAATACTTATGTCTCAAAAACCGCCACGCCCAATGCTCACATGCATCACATATGTTTCGTGATTGACGGTGACAAGTTATTCAGATGACTCTTTCGGTGTAAATGACAGCATATGGTGAAATTTTCTGTTTCTTGTGAAGATTGTGCAGCCTCCGGAATATCTGGCCGAATTATGACCAGAGTGACATAACGGAAGAGCTTTGGCACCCCCAGATCGGAGTGCAAAGGTGTGGATTTACGTAATGTTACGCTCAGCAAATATGTGGCTGATAGTAATATCCCTTCTGCACGTGCGTTGTACGTATGTTTAAGTACCTATGCTCGCTGTATGTCTTAACCACCGCCCTGGTTCGCCGTTTTGCATAACTCGGACTGATGGGGGGAGAGTGGGTTGATGTGGCCCTCCCCTAGCGTTTCCAAGCTTCTAAAGATAGAGCTTCCAGAGAACAGCAGCATATTGTTCTGATTACGATCTCACGATTGGTAATAGTTTTTATGCTGTTGACAGATCAAAGGTCGAATTTTACAGAAAACCGCACTTTGTAGCTTTTCTTTATGTTTACGAGGCCTTGTTTACGCCTTGCAATGATACAAACCTTAAATTGGCGTGTCTTCTTCAATTCTGAGTACATTCTGTAGTGCAATTCTCTTGTCGCCCGCCGCCTGAGCCAGCCATAGATCGTCGTCGAGTGTTCATCACAAGCTGCCGCTGCTCCGAAACCAGAATATCTAGGAACACGTTTTGGTATCAAAACACGTGCCATAATCACCGCCTATCATGGTGAGGGTTTAACGTCATTTTATTGTTGCGTTGGGTATCGGCAACGATTTTTGTGAAATAGTATTCCTCATTTTGCGGGCAAAACAGGAACAAACAATGATTGCTTCCTTCCATAACTGTTTGCTCCTAGCTTGACCTCACGCTGAGCCCGTCCCAAAAGACCAAGTCTCTCGTAACAAGCTGTGCTCTCTCCATGGGCTGGCGCCGAAATGTTCCGATGCTCGCGAAACTTTTCCCGTCCGAACAACGAGAACATCTTCATTGACGCGCCAGACTGTTCGCACGCGTTTGGCGACAGGCAGGTTGGCGCGAACGATAAGATGGTCGACCAAGGCAACCGATCGCTGTTATCGCGTAAGAACTGCAGTGAACGCATAAGCCCGAAGGAAATATGACAAAGATACGAGTACGTAATTTGAATATGACCATCATGGTTTTCGATATGTTCAGCTCCTTCCATCCTTTCGCTAAGTCTTTGATAATGGATGTAGGGGCACACAGTGCGCTTACAGCAGGCCCAGTGTGTGACATGCTACAAATGCTCTTGAAACGGAAGATGCAATAGTGTAGGCATTAGGCGACAAGCAGCCGATCGCTTATAGCAACACCGAGACAAATGTCAGAGCATCATGTTATTGCCGGTATTTAGCGGACACGTGGCCGGTAGGCAGTAGGGTGGGGGCAGCTTCTGCCATTTAATTTAATTTTTCCGTCATTTCAGGCGGAGGCAGGTTTTCTCTGATTCATGTCTCGGGTGAGATGACATACCGTGCATTTGTGTTTCTTCTCACGTTTTCTCTAGTCTCCGTGATATCATGCCTAGTTGTGAACGGAGTTATATAACGGGAGATATGCCACCAGAATTATTAAGTGCGAATGTGTGAATTCAGATCATGTGATGCTTGGGAATATGTGGTTGGTGGTGATATCCCTTCTGCATGTGTTACGTCGTACACATGTGTAAGTACCTACTCTCGCTGTCTTACACATTATCTTATTGCTGCATTCGATATCGGTAATGATGTCTCGTGAAAAGATTATCTTTATTTTGTAGACAGTTGCAATCATGTGAGGCAAGAATGTTTCCTTGCTTCCATATTTACTTGCTCCTTGTTTCATCTCACATTGAGCCCGCCTCCGAAAACCAACTCCCACGCGACAAGTCGCGGTCTGTCTGGGGTCCAGTGCAAGACGACTACGGCGCTTGCGAAACTCAAAGCGGGAAAC